TGAAAAATTAAAATTTACTGAGCCAAATATGTAATATTTGAAAGCACTAATAGAATTGTGATGTGTGGATAATAGTAGGAGATTGTAATACTTGTCACAATTGTTTATCCAGCTTTCTTATCATTCCCCTGTATTTATTATTTACTCATTCGTTTTGTAAAAGAAGAAAAATATATTTTGCGTAATGTTAAAGCAATAGCAGCAGTTGTTTTTTGATAAGGAATTTGTGAAAATGAATGATTTTAAATAGAAGGTGAGTAACTTTATGTAACTACTTCGGCTGGTATTAAAATCATTTCAGGGTGACGTTGAGGCAGATGGTTTCGCACCGGAACCTCTTGATGCAGAGAAACTTCTAAAGGTGGATGACCCTTTGCAAGAGGCGAGTAAATTTGTACAACCACTTCTTCAATTGAACAGCGAACAATTTGGATCATATATTCTTGGTTTTGAAGTTTACTATAGGAAGAAGAAAGTATGCTGTTTTATGAATTACTCTAATTTTCGAAACAATAATAATTTCCGGATACTTACTTGTGTAAAAAATTTGAACATTCTATCAGCTCACAACGACCAAAGATTTAAATTCTTTTTTTCGCACTGGAACCTCTTAATGCAATGAAATTTCTAAACGTGGATGGCTCTTTCATGTTATATGATCATTATGCAGTAGCACTGGTAATTTCAAAAACTTTTATTCACTGTTGTTTTAAATATAAATTCGTCTTTTTACAATACTTCGCAAATCTCCGTCTTATCTTCCAACAAGTAGTATTTTGGCATGAAAAACAATTCAAAAAATTAAATTCATATGTTAATATGTTACCGTAGCATTTGCTTGTTGCCAGTTCTGCATATTTTTTAGGTACTTTTGATGTTACAATGTTTAAACAAAGCAACAAAGTTAGAGCCTAACAATCCAGATCTTCATGTTGCAGCTTCTAAATATTTGCATTATTGTGAGTTATTTTTCCTTATTTAATTTTAGATTCAATGAATTTGAGTCTATCTCTTTACATAATAGTGTAATTGACTAACTTTCATGTACTTGATTTTATTCCTAAATGTAGGATCATTGCATTCATTTTATTTTATTTATCTAAGTAAGTAGAGTAAATAAGTAAAAAAAAAGTGGGCACTAAAAGATGAGAGTCATAGGTCGGTGAATGAATGAATTATTTTTTATTTGCGAAAACTTTAAAATTTTCAACGCAGAAGTTATAAACTTGGTCCGTAATGCGCACATTTACCTTTTGCTTATACTATCTTTTAATATAGATGAGAAGGTGCAGTTGGAAGGACCAGTCAAAGAATTAGCTGCCGAATTAACCGGCATATTATTTCCGAATACGAAATCAGCCTCTGAATTCAATAGTGCTTTCAAAAGAGCGAATATCAATTCATTCCCCCATCGACTTGCTGGTATCCACTGTTTATTGTCTCTGTGATTTTTTGTTAAATTATGCACACATTGATTTACATACTTTATGGTTACATCTTTTATCAAAAATTTTGGTACTGTCATTTTTAATTTCTTATTCATAACATTATCTTTCAGTTGCTGAGATCAGTATATTTCTGGATCTGAATTGTGTTGATGTAACAAAGAACTGGTTGCTGCAGTCTTTAGATGATGATAAATTGAATGGAGTAACGCTCAAAAATATTGAAACATTATATAACGGGATTTTATATGGTAAATACGGAAATTGGACTGCTAACGAGGTTTGCGCTTTTCAAGTATTTATATATGATGGAAAAGATTATCATTTTGTTCTTACATTGCCTAATTCCTGTTGTAATTATTTATGTTATTTAAGGGCTCTATTCTATCCAATAAAATATTCTGGTTTACCACTAGTATTTAACGCGAACTGTCATTTGCTTCGAAATAGCGGGATTGTAGTAGTGAATTATATAATTTACATTTATCGTCACATGCTTAGTTGGGGTCTAAGCAGAATTTATGAAAGTAGTAACATGACTCTGAATGACATATTTATAATGGTTTTTATATGTAATCAGGATAAATATTTAATATAAAGTTTAAGTTTAAAAATTTTGCGAAGTTTTTTACGAGAAAGTCGTGCAATTTGGTCTTGTCATATATAGCTTAGAAATCAAGTTTTATGAAATTCTGAACTGTAGTGAAAATTTTATGCTGAATTGAATTATTACACTAAAAATTTTGCAGATGGCGCAGCTGACAAAACGCTGTCACCACTTATTCAAGGACGCGACATTATTTGGCGGCGGCATTAATTTAGGTGCACAGGGAAAAGAGAATTGTAATATCAACCAATTTTAGGAATAAATAAATTGTTTTCTTTGTTAATATTTAATATTGCATTCGAAAATTGTATACACTTTCTTATTTGTTAATGATATTTTGTTTTTGTAAGTGAAGAATTTTTTCCCTGTTCCGCCCAAAATTTTTTAAAGAGTTTACTTATGACTTTATAGATCCAAGGAAGGAATACCAACTGTCATATTTTAGCAAAACGAGTAAATGTTCCCTAAGGGAATCTGTAAAGAAACGGCCAGGAATATGACGTGTCCAAATATTTGGCTGGTCGATTTAGCTAGTCATTTTTATTTCTTTTCTGACTTTTATAGTAAAAATGTGGTGGTCACGTGCTTTTCTGTAAGGAAGCCGAGCTGTTTCACACATAAGAAATTTTTTAGTAATTTCTAGCGATATTATTGAATAAATAATTTAACTGTATATTCGCTAGCTTTTTTACGTATATTTTTTGCCATTTCTTGTATTTCGATGATGGTGTAATCTGCGATTGTTTAATATGAAATTGATGCGAGTTGTCAATTTTATCACAAATACTGCTTTACTCAACTCGTCCATTCATTCATTTCTGTTTCTTCCCTTAAACTCGCACTTTTTATTATTTTTAAGCCGTGATTTCGACGATATCACTAATGAAATTATGAGGAAACATAAAGACTTTCAGTCAGTTTCTGTATTTCCTGATTTTCATTGTTTTAAGCGTTTGGTTTTTTCCATCAGGAAAATGAATTTAGGAAGACATAATTTAAAGGAAAATCTGTGAATTTTGTAATGTCATGCCTTACTGTTGTTTACCTCATTTTTTCGTCAAAATCAAAGTATTGAAGGTAAGATGCATTTAGTATATAGATTTTATATATTACAGTTTCTGGATAGCGTTACTTTTGGATATTTTCAAAGCTAGTTTGAATCGAAATTGTTCATTTCACAAATAACAATATTTTTTGAAGCTTTATCGATTGTTTGTAATGAACCTGACATCTCTTCCTAGTTAGGAATTGTCACATTTATACCGATTAGCCGCAGAAAGATGAGAAAAATGTCTATAAAATTGTGTATTGTATTGATGTTTACAGTTTGTTTGTTGTAAATGTCTCTTATATTAGGCTTAGGGTAATTTCGGTACATTTTTTCTAAATTTAGTTTCATACTGGAAGATATGCAACTTGTGAAGTGTACCCGAATAGAACTGCTTTGAACAGTGTCTATATAATTTTTGCTAGATATATAATTCTTGCATTTGCGAGCGATTATATTAGTCATACAGGGTGAATACATCCGGTGGACGTTCGTCTTTGTGGTTATGGATTGTTTTTCTGATATTTAAAATTATTGTGTATCATGCGCTGTTTTATTGTATAATTCCATACTTTTTTCCTCAGTTTTCAGTTGTTCATTTGCTCAGTTGTTTTCGAAAGCGGTTTTTATTAGTAATTTCAACTAGGATGTAGGATGGGAAAAATCGTCCTTTGATTCTCGATTTTCTTTAAGAAGTGAGAACTAAGATTGTCCTGCGAAACTTGAAAGTGGAAGAATTTCAGTTGTTTCATCCTTAGTTCATCATCGTTGTCCATATTCTATATGTGAATGCTTATAATAGTAACTTTCTTTTCGTTATTTTGTTCGAGGTCTTTTTTTGTTGACCAAGATTTTAGAGTTTAGAAGAGACCCGATTGTCCAGTCCTCAAATATTGGGCCTAGTAGATCTATACAGGTTTCATGGATTTTAGCATTAACAGTTTAACGTTTTTATTTGAATAACTCGAAAATGTTGAAAAAGTATTGTTATGACAACGTTTTCTACAGAATGATCCATGATCAATTGATCGCAAGTATTTTCCCTTGCAAGTGAGTAATTTATCATGATTCCACAAAATACTAAGGCTGTATACTTTATGACTTCGAAATCTTTTCTGAATTTGAGAATTCGAAATAGAAATAGCTCTAAGGGATGATGCGATGGATGGTGGTAAATGTGGTATCCTAGTTGAATCCTGAAGTTTTGACTTCAAAATACAATTCCTTTGTCTAAGATTTCCCCATAATTTGTTTTACCTTCTTTTCGCATTAATATTTACAAAGCCAAAGTAAATCTCTTACTGTTGTTGCCGAAACCTGCGTTGAAGCTATTATAAGCAAGGTGTTCGAGAAGCACATGTTATACTCTTGTCCGTATGAATTGTTTCTAAAAATGGTGGAGTTCGCTTTTTATTGTTGCTCGGCTTCTTAATTGAATACATTGTGTTTGACTTAGCTAATTGTACTACTGGCCACCAAAGTTCCCTACTTTGATTATTCACAGTAAGTGTTTTGATGACGTAGTAAAGTGCAGGTTTCACTACTGGGATTTAATGAGTGGATTTAATAAGAAATGCGGATTAGTTATGTGTTTATTTTTTTTTATTTTTAATTCAGATTTGAGACAGTCTTGACTGAGCATTAGATTTTCTCTCAGTTCTGCAATCTCAAATTTCTTTATCGGAAAATTAACTGATTCGTAGATCGTCGAAGCTACCAGCAGGATCAAAGTGAACCAATGAAGACTTTGCCGAATATTCTTTCTATTTCCGCAATAACGATGCACACAAATACGAAAAAGTGATGTTTTTTCACATGGATATTTTGGAGCAAAGTGGTTGATTTCTGTTTCAGTCCAGCGATTGCCTGTTTAAGAAAGTGCAAGAAACACTGGGAAGCGATGATGGCCGACCATCTTGATTTGGACGATGAATTCGACACCGGTGGTATCGTTTGCTTTTTGGTGTGAAAATATTTTCTTCCATTCTGCGTAAAACAAATTTGAATCAGAAGCCAGTCTGCTTGAAATCAAAAAACTCTTTGGAATTTCATTAAGAAAATCATAAGTTACCGAAATAAGTTATATTTTTGCAGATGAAACGGATCAGTCTGAAGCACTTGAGACTTCAACGTCGGAATTCTACAATGCGTTTGAAGTAAAAAATGTATGTTATTATTAGCAGCTGTTGGAACATAGGGAGATGGTCATCGTTGAAAATTTATTCCTGTAAGCTGAATTACATACTATGGAATAAATGCTAATGCTTCTGAAAAAAAGTAAAATATTGGCATTCGTCAAACTGCTCCACTTAATCTATTGTAATGTAGACTTCATTGTTCTTTTGAATTTATTTGGGAAAGAGAAATTGTGTTTGAAGGTATTGGGACATGGATTAGCATCGACTGTTCGACTCTGTATTGAAAAAGGGACAGGTTTGGAATTTGCAGTAAAAATTGTTGATATCAGTACGGAGCGCCAATCAGAAGTGGAAGCTCATCGATTATATAATGAAACAATTAGCGAAGTAAATTTGCTAAGACAGCTTTCAGAACATCCGTCAATTAGTGAGTTTTCTATAATTTCATTTGTTTCCCTAATTTTCTTTAAATGTAATAAGTACAGTATCATGCAGCAAAACGCAGTTGAACTCAGTGGATCTGTTTCTTGTGTAAAACTCCACATTGCCTAGAAAAAATTTCCTTGGAACCAAAAGAATTTCCATTATCTTTTATGTTTTATATTTAAGTTGCACTTTACTCTTCGAAAGTGATGAATACTATTATTATATATATTATTTTAATGTAAATTATTATCTTAACGAATTTAAACATACTCTATATTAATTTATATAATAACATCAGTTCAGTTTTTCCATCATTAATCTTTTTTTAATTGCTGCTTTCAGTTAATATACATGACTTCTATGAAACACCGGCATTTCTTTTCGCTGTTTTTGAAATGTAAGTTTATTTTCAGTTAGAAGATGTAGAGGGTCAAATTTATCTCGAAGTGAGGTTAAATTGCTATTTCGTTTTGGAAAAATAACATTTTATTATACTGCCAGAGAGAACCTCAATTCAAGAAAAAATCAATTAGATTTTCGATTTGTAACGATTTAATTGGACTGTTTTTAGTACTTGTAGTTTCGTACTAATTTCATGAGACTTGGAATTTGTGTTTATCGGTTGTGTTTTTATTCTATTTTGAATTCATGTGATTATTATAAACTGTCTTATTCTCTTCATAATGATATATTTTGCTTTTCTGTCAGAAAAAAAGATTTTATTGATGCAAAATTGTTTTCTCAGTTGTCGCACTTTAATGGCAGATCACTTCAGTGCCATTCTTGACAACTGAAGTTTTTTGTCCAGTTAATTTTGAGGGCTTTCTGACAAGCTTATTTATTTTTTTTTTTTTTTTCAGGGCTCCAAAGGGTGAACTATTCGATATTCTTAATAAATCAGTAACAGTTAGTGAGAAGAAAGCAAGACGTTTGATGCGACAGCTTTTTGATGGAGTTGCTTATATGCATGATAGAAATATTGTACACAGGGATATTAAGGTTGCTTACAATTACTTGTTTAATGGAATTTCATTTTTACAAACTGAGACATTTATGTATTAGTCTATGGTTTGTGTTTTATCACGTTTTGTAACATAATTTCTTGAAAAGTTTCTTTACTAAAATTTTAGTTAGAAAATATTCTCTGTATTGACGACGAAAGAATTGTGATTAGCGATTTTGGGTTTGCTACACAGATACAGCCAGGACAAAAATTGAGAGGTTATTTTTGTGTCTTTTGTTGATTTTCATTAAATCATTCTCTTGAACGTTAGCGAAAGAAGTTATGTTTGATAGAACTGTGAAATAAGTGCAGATCCTTGCAGAGATTAAATATCAACTTTTCATGTGCTAGTTTTCAGAATTATTAGGAACGCCAGGTTATTTAGCTCCTGAAATGCTGAAATGTCAGATGTACGAAGAAGCTGATGGATACAGTGTTGAAGTTGATGATTGGGCACTTGGTGTCATTTTATATACTTTGTAAGTTCGGCTACTTTTTTAATTTTGTGTTTATGTAATTCAATATTTCTTTTTTTTACAACGAAACGAAACATCAGAAATGTTGTCAGATTAACAGGTCAGGAAGAAAATAAACTACTACTTTCATATGAATAATAATATTATTGGCTTGTGCTTAGAGTCGATTTTTTAACACATAAACAGTATTAGGAATCTGAAATATGGATAAATTAAATTTTCACTTAAATGAGAGTCTTCACTATTTCAGACTTGCCGGTTGCGCACCTTTCTATCATCGACGACAGCTAATGATGCTTCGCATGATACAGGAAGCAAAATATGAATTTCGAGCAGATCAGTGGTCTCAAATCACTTCCGATGCTAAAGATTTGGTTGGTTCTGTCTTTGATGTTAGACGGCATATAGATCTGTGGAATTTCCAAGAACTTTAGAGTTTTGTATTTTACTGAGTTTCTTAACATTCTGGAATACTCAAGAGAAATTTTAAATCTTTTATTAATACTGTGTAATTTCTTTAGTGATCATCTTGCAAATAAAAAACTCGAATATATATATATAGCATTTTTTTAGCATTTTTTTTAGATCAGCCATTTGTTAATCGTTGAAGTTCAACAGCGTCTAACGGCTGCCCAATGTCTGCATCATCCATGGATGAAAACTGCTGCTGTAACGCTAAAGGTTTATCTCAGTCTTCATTTTAAATCACTAAAGCGGTAAATGTATCATATTTTTATAATTGCAACAAAAACTCCAATCTACATCACATATTGTTTGCAACGAACTCCTCAAAAATGTTCTTTTCAGATGTTTGATTGTGCAGAGTTTATCACGAATTACTAATAGTCCATTAAATGAATATAAGAATTTGCGGTATAGCACTGGAAGTATAGACATAATCAACATACATTTGGATATTTATTTTTATTTCGAAACCGTGCACAAAAGCATTGTCATTTTTCAGAAGAGCGTGATACAACAAAAATTTGTTGCTGAAAAACGAGACTACAAAAAACTTTGGAAATATGGCATTACAATGGCACGATTTTTTGTACGTCTAACAAATATCAAAGTATTGAAATTATTGATTGATCGGGATGTGCTGAGGGATCGTCCATTTCGTGATCGTGATGTAAGTATTATTGTTATTCTAAAAAAGTGATATAATTAATTAAGTTTATATATTTTATATATAAACTTATAAATTTTTTTTGTAAATTTTCCTTTTTATAAATTGCTTTTTTCTTTTCTTTTGGCGAAGGGGGAAGAGAGAAAATTTTCTGTTTTTTTTTACGCACAAAATACTTCTAAATTTTTTTCGGAATAAAACATCTCTTAGAATGTTGAATTGTACTACTGCTATAAAATAGAAGTGAATTTAGATTCGACACGAATCTGAGGCTGCTGTATTTGAAGTTTACGGACATTGGGTCAATCGCGGTTTTTATTATTCACGCGATATGTTATTCGCAAATAAACCTAAGCCAAAATATAGAAAAGTGGAAATTGAAGCCAGCTAATCTGTTGCTTTTAGTTGTCAGCTAAATTATTGGCCTTATTTTAGTTTGTTTATCATATTTGGCTTACTGTGCTTAGTTTCAGCTTTTCAATAACTTCTCTCATATATTCCAGTTAACCGAAGATCAGTATTAGGCCATTTTATAGTACTCTCTTGTGATGATTGAACTTACAAATAATAAGAATTTCATAAAATTTGACCATAAATCATTTTTTTTACTGTGTTTGTGATTCACATATTTATTGTTGGTTTAAGTCTTTTAATATCTATTCTGAATGTCGATTCTGAATTTCCTTATGCTTGATTCATCAGATTCTAGCTGATAAAGGATTAAAATAGATGTATTCTTTATCAATTAGAACTCTGCTGATAAAGTTATCATTTCAGTATTTCCTTCTAGATGCAAATATTTTAACTTAGTTTTTCTACCGTGATGGTTTTACTATTTTCTTTCAAATGGCGTATCAAAAATAGAGGTATGAAACGTGTGCATTAAGTGGAATAACGATGGATGTAATATTCAGTCCATTTCGAAAAGTACATCTTTACCCGAATGTAATATTCTAGCAATAAAATATGCGCCACACCAAATAACCAAACGGTCTTTTATGTAAGTGTATCAATGAGAAAAAAGTGTTTGTTTGCATGATTTCTCTGTCAACTTTTAGTTTCTCATCTCAAGTTATCGAAATTATCGAGTTTGCTAGTACTGAGAAAACATATGTGTATGTATGCATTTTCAAATAGGCCGAAGATCTCTAAATATTGAATATATATCTGGAAATAGTCACTTTTTCGTGTATTCAAGATTTTATTACATTCTATTCCTTAACCGTTCATTTTTGGATTTAAATTGTTTTATTTTTAAGTTCCAAATATCTTGGTAGTTTACACCTTTCTACTTTAATGCGTCATCACATGGCTCGAACTGTAAAGTCTTTCACTGCTATGCTAGGAAATGAAGCAGGGAAATTTTTCCTTATGACATTAACTATAAAATAAACACTTTTAATGAGTTCAATAATATTCTTCTACAAATATTGGAAAATATGCTTTCGTACCATAACTTGAATTGTTGTTCGACAAGTTTTCTGATTCCAGGTTGATGATGTTAGTTTCAAGTTTTTCCTTGTTTTGTTGAGGCTTATTGCAATATTTTTCTTTTTATATGTATTGAATTGAAATGGATCATGCTCCGAATTGAGAGAATTAGGGTAGGTTTTTCAGAATAACTGTTAGATCGCATGTTGGGAAAAATTTAATAGGTGCAATATTTTTTGTATTGACAGTGTATTATTTGCAATAGTAAATGGCCTGTTGACACATTAATTGTGTATTTAAATGGTCTGGAAGTTCCATAATGCTCTGGGAAACTAATTGGGGTTGGTTAGCATCACTCAAGATTAATTTGAGTAACCTCCTTGAGCAATGAATCTTCTTAATATGTGCAAAAAACTTTACCGATTCTAATTGTAATGCTTTTGTTATGAAACATGTGAAGGCACGTTATCCTATCTTTTAATTGTTGTCGTGAAAGTGTCGGGTTAAATCAGTGAAAGAGTTAGGTACAGCGAGAAAAAGAAAATTTCGTGCTTTTAGTCGATATAAATCTGCATAACAAATTATATTGGTATTAGTTTATTGATAACACCCAGCTAACCTAGTATAGAATAGTAAGATTGAAGAGATGAAGGCAGTGCAGATCCAATGTCAGAATCAGAAATGTTTCAGTCATCCGAATGTTTTTAAATAGCACTTATATAAACGTAATCGAAAAGAGATGGAGTTGTCATGTGAAAAGGTTGAGTTAATTTAGTGAATAAATTTGGTATAATAAGAAAAGGAAAGCTTACATGCGTTGAATCAAATTGCGCAGCAAATTGGATTATTATTTTATTGTTAACACTGCAAATAATTAATAACTAAATATAGAGTTGCAATTTAGAAATATAGAATATTATAGAAGTGTAAATCTGGAGATGAAGATAGTGCAGTGGAATATTCCATTTAGAAGGTTTTAATTAATGAGTTGAAAAGCTTAACTAGGACCTTTATATATTGTGGATAAAAGCTTACAATAAAATACGAGATAGAGTTTACATACAGCTTTTTCAAGCTGCGTATAAGATTGATGCATGGCAAGGTTTTTACAAATTAGCTTTATTACACTAATTGAATTGAATAACAGATTCATCAGATGTGGGAAAAGCTGTAATTAATATTTACACAATGTGATGAATTTTTTAATCTAGGATGTGTTTTATACAACGAATAATTAATTTTATTGCTATAACATATTTTGGTTTTTCTTCCGATTTTCCAACATTCCCAACTGAAGGAGAAAATAGTGTTGAAGGATGTAAAAAAAAATAATCCAGCTGATTCCAGTTTTTAGTAAGTGTCCTTTTTTTTGTTCCTTATCATTGAAAGGGACAACAAATTCAATTGCTGCTGGGTTGCATTTAATACATGACAAAGGTATTATAAAATAAATTAAATCAAACTTAATGGTAACTGATATTAGCAATATTATAAAAATACAAATGTAAAAGTCTATCACTCACCAATGTTTGGTTAATTCATTTAGTTCTTGTTGATCAACTCACGAATATTTTAGAAACCATTCTTGAATTGTTGTGATACTTCGGCTCCTCACTTTGTTGGTTTGTTCTAAATTCTTGCTTTTGATCGAGTTAGTATGTAATGAACCTTAGGATGTTGTTGGAATAAGATCTTCAATTCGGCATCAACTGGTTCAATTTTGAAGTGATTAATTATTTGGCCTTGAACTTGACCAGTCTCGTATTTTTTAGGTTTACATGGGAATTACTGCTGGTTATTTTTGCTAGTATGTCATTATTTTCTAATATTAATTTGGCGACCAGTGTAAGGTTATTATGAGACAGCCATTCAATTAGTGATAATAAATTGTGATTATGACAGCACTGTTTGGACAATCAGCTTTGCTGTTGTTTAAATTCTCCAAGATTGTCAAAGATGTATTGAAATTTGTCGATTTTAGGCCTTAGTTTCTTCTTGGTTAGTTTCTCTCTCATTAAATTACCCTTCCCTAGATTTTAGACTAGAATTTCTAATTATTGCTTTATTGATGATATCCATACCATTCATCAGGTGAAGATCCATAAAGCTGCAATCTATTGCTATAGAAGTTTTATTTTCTTTCAAAACGAATCAAATTTGAAGTTCGTTGATAAAAATATAAGTTTAATACATCCTTTCCTTATTTTTCTCTTTTTTTTTGCGTATTTTCCCCTCTTTTTGTGCATTTCCCATTTTATGTAGGACAGTTTCCGATAGAATCAAGATCTAATACTTTTTTTCGTCGTAGATTAGGATTTCTCCCTGTTGTAACAAGAAATTCGTCGTTGACTGTCATCAAATTCCTAACCATCCATATGATTGAGTCCCTTAAATGTTCAACGCATAACCTATAATTGTGCTTGGAGTTTCCCCAAGACCAGGTACTTGATGTCGTCTATTTTGTCTGATAATAATCTCTTGGAATTATTTTAATGTTTCGTCGTCATTGTCACCTTGGGAGGTTCTTGAATGCTTATCATTATTTTTCCAATTCTGAAATTTACATTGGAATACATATTGTGTTTAAAGTGCATACTGTATTACTATTTCAAAGTTCATGATGTCATCACTTTCAACAATCATTGCACCGATTTTTAATTAGAAATAATCAGCACCAATAAGGAGTTCGGATTATTTCCAATAATTCGTTAAGTCTCTGAATTGACCGTTGTCTCCGCTAGTTATATTTCATTAGTTAGGTAATTGATTACGTGGTATACAATGTTATAATTTTCTATACACTCAACTGCATGCGGTAGGTAATAAGGCATGATCTGGGCTTCTTATATACCAAACAGAGCTATCTTCAATTTTTTCCATTTTAATTAACTTTAATCGGTGCGACAATTCATTGGAGATAATTCTACATCAAACGGTACCAAGGCCCTTTATGGTTGTTAACTCAGTAAGAGATTGAAAAGTATTATTTCTCTATAAAGGAGTAAAGTTTCCTTTACATGTCTTTTCCCTATGAGTTCGTTTAAATTTCAAGGATTAAATTGTAATAATCTTTTTCGTTAATACTTTTAATTCCCTTGGTCTTTTGAATTTTGTCGAAACATGCTGTATTATTTCCTGTGGTAACACAGATCTTTTTTGTCCATTTAGGTATTACTATCGATTATCAGTAAAACATAAGATATTCACGCTAGCAATATACCTGATTTCTGTAAAATTTGATCACGTCTTATTAAAGCGATTGCTACGCTATTAGATCAGTGATCAGTGTTTCAGTCGATTAAGAATATCACGAACAGTAAGAATAAAATTCTAAGAATAAATATTACAATTAATTTAAGATTTATTCTAAGTAATGAAGAAAACTTTTATAGTAAAATAATTTTCTATTAAAGGAAGGAAATATTTCACTGTGGAATTTCTATTTCATTCTTAAAATGAAGTCTTCATGTAACTGAGATTTATACATCTTTGATGACCTTTACATGACTTAAAGTTATAGACTTAGAAAAGTTCTATTTAAAAATGGTTCCATAATTGCTATTTGTTGTATATGATTTATGTTTTTCACTGAAAAGATTTCACTGGAATTTTCAAATTTTAAATCAGCAAGAAATTACGGTTTACATTTATTTACTAATAAATTTGATTTCAGTTTCGATCACTGAACACAACGAAAGTGTAAAGTAGAATTCAAAATTCAATGTTTGTCATATATGTCGTACTACTAACCATTTCTAATTAGCATTTTGTTGTAAGTCGATTAAAATTATTAGGTTTAAGATGCATTTAAAATTGTCTTGTAGACATAACGTTAGCAAATCAAGGTTCAAGTTTACGATAATGTGAGAGATAGACCTTCAAATAATGATTTTATTGTTTATCATTTATCAGAGTATTGGAATGATTACCAGTTCATTTCATCCACTGGCAGTTTTCTGTTTCAATATATTTTTCCTAAAAACTGTTCCTCAGTTATTCAGCAAGGTGTTTGGACATTGTTTGCAATGTTACAACGTGAAATAACGTCGACTATCGTGAAATGCTCTAAATCCTTGGTTATATCTTTGCTATTTCAGTATTGGACTCGAAAATTTTTAAATTTTGTTCACTTGTAAGTTCGAGATGACTGTCTGTCAAATTATGTATTTTTTATTACACAAGCAATCATGCAAGGATAATTTGACCAACCCATTCTTTCAAAATTTTGAAGTTGGTTCAGCATCTTTAATTTTAAGACTATTCGAGCAATCTGTTCATCCATTTCGTCAGCAAGAATTAAAACATTGCAGGAACTATTTAAGCTGAAAATGTAAGAAGGGTTGCGCATAACATTTCTTCCATGTTTCAAAAACTATAAGTACATATCATTGAGTGGATTCAAATCGAACCGAAAATTTCAAAAAACTGAAGAAAATGTGAAATTAGGATTAAAGCACTGAGATAAAAGTACCTTTGTAGCATATCGAAATGTTCTCCTTTGAAAAAAAAATTGGACCGGTTATGTAAATTTATTATAGAATCATCCTCTCATAGTATATGAGAATTGAATTCCGGGCTTTTGAAAATTGAATTATGGTTTTGGATTCAGATAAAGTGAAAGATAAAGCACGTATCAGCAAATGTCATTTAATTTTCAAATATACTGAACGAGGATCTTAAATTTTTCTTCAGGTTTTCAAATACATTTCATTCAGGGTCTTTGAGTTTAGAAATATTCAATAATATGTAAAAGTATTCTCTATATTTAACCGTCTAAAGTGCATCTGTAGAGATAAACTTCTTATAAACAGCTTAAAAATCCAGTCAACAAGCTACATTTTTTTTAAATCATAAAATTTCAGAAGCTTAGCACTTTTCTATTTTAATTTTAGAAAAGAAAAAATTTTTATAGTAAAAATTGGTTTTGCTCAAAAATTGAGTGGAGGAAATATTCGCATAGCTTATAATGTGGAAAAAAAAAGAATAAAAAACTTTGTAAAATGAATAGATATTTTCAAACTAGTAGATATGAAATCTTACTAATCCAATACAACAGATTATGCGTTTTTTTTTTTCTTTTTTTTTTGAGAAACTATTGCCGATAATAATGGTAATAAAATAGTGTCATTAGGCGATACTGAAAGACTCTAAGCCAACAGTATATATATATATATATATGTTATTTATCCTAAACTTTTGTTCTGCAGAAAAGAATCGAATATGTGGCCCATCCACTATTACATTTTGAAATTCATGATCAAACCAATACTGTTACAAACAATATTTACATTTTTACACTTTCTGAATAGAAATCGGCCGGAAATTTAGTTGTTCATTAGGATGTTTCTGGGAAATACTCATTATTCACGCACGATTACGGTGGGCATAGTGAACGATTAGATAAATGTTGACATCCGTCGTTTCGGTGGCTTTTTCGATGATTGACGACTATTTCCCGCAGAAGAAAACGATGATAATAAACCACACCATTTCGGAAATCTCTTGTCGCTAATGTCTTCTTTAGTATTCACAAAATTCATACCGCTTCTCTCAGATTTCATCACCTTTGTGAAAGAAGTTGACGGGCTTTTAGAGAATGGCTAAAAATAGAGCGAATTTGAGATAATTGAAATGGATTAGAGTTAAAAGTAATAAAAGGTAGAATCCATAAGTGATTACATTGTTCTATTCAAATTACATTGCTTTCTCTTAATCCATTTGAATCCATCCATCATTCATACTTAGTGATATATTAGGGTTTAATGAAGTGAAGAAATGAGACGAATTACATTCATATCAAGCAAAAGCTTTACATGCGGATTATCGGAATAATCAATGGATGAAAGATGAGTAGATGGTGGCTCCTGAACGGAGTGGTGTCGTTTTTGTTTATTACGTTTAGTTTCTTCCGCTATTTCGGTGACAGCTCGCGCATCTTCTCTGAAATCTATTATTGCAATCGAATTGTTTATCACAAGCGAGAAATAAACATAATTGACAAGATTTGAATGAAATAGGACGTGAAATGGGCGAAATTTTCAGTAGGAAAAATAGAAATGGTGCTAAAATGGAAATTATCCAAATAGTGCAGGATATGATGATACATGCTTCTATGATTTAGCGAAGGATTAGCAGGATAATTAAACTAATATATTAAAAGCCCAAATTAAGTAGCATCAAGAGTGGAGCTTTATATGGAGACTACAGCGAGATGAAAAATCTTCAAATTAAACGGGAGTGGTTTGCTTTTTATACCAAACCCGTTCACGGAAGTGATGTGTCATAATACACCGTGCGCACGTATACATATAAACAGCACAAAGTTATGCGTACAAAGATAAGGTTAATTTCTATGCTTAGTCGTTTAAAAAACATCCATTTGTATAAACTCTTAAATAAGGTCAAAATATGATTAAAAACTAGGAAAAAAAAGTTGGCCCACAAAAGGATTTGTTTTTATGAATAAGTGCGAATGAGTAATAAACATAAAAAGGAAAGAGCATAACTTACAGATGGAGATGTGCCACTTTTTCCAGAAACTTTGCTTCGTCTTCTCTGTAAAATGCACTATACACAACAATGAGTATCTGTCCATGAAATCATGAATAACTGCTTGAGGAATTTATAAAACTAATTCAGAGTTCACTAATTTTCCTTCCATTACCAATCAGTGATTTAAATGCTATCAAACATTTCAATAAAATTTAATGCATACCATTTTTTTATTTTTATTCGAGAGAAATGGCAATTAAATTTAGAACAGTTTTCTGATTAATTAAGTTAGTCTTAGTTGACGAAGCAGAATGGCAAAGTGATCTGAGTTGAAATGAACGTATAACAACTTGAATCAGTTGCTATTTCAAAAAAATAATAGTAGCAGTAATAGTAAAACCAGTTGCTATCTCGAAAAAATGATGTGCATTTAGTTTCATGATTTGTTTAAAATTGAAAAACAAAGTCATTCCAATTTTATGATTACAAATAAAAAACACTATTTCGATAAAATTCTGAAACTACTCGCAGATTACGCAGAGAATGATAATTAAGAAGAAAAATAGGAAAAAAAGAAATTTATAAACTCAGCTAATATTGCTTTGCAAATTCCAAACAGCCGAGAAGGAATGAAGTCCCTTTTTGCAGTATTGCAAATAGGAGATATTTGAGTGAATTTAACTTAAAGATAAGAAGTAAAACATTAAAACTATCCTAGTTAGCTAACTTAATTATGACATTCCAGTCAGGTAACATGCTTTCCCGATAAGCGAGAAGCCTGTCTAATTTTTGAATTAAGTTCAGAAATATAAATGATTTGAGCAATGGTGGCCACCTCAGATGATGTGAATTAATACTAGCCGAGTTGATGTATGATTTTAGAACTTCGGTTTTGATTTGGTTTTCTTTTCAATTTAAAATAACAAAACAAAACGAATTTATCAGTGTTCAACTGCAGCATAATCAGTAAGATATAATAATGATCATTTCTTATTTCAATCATTATTGCAGTTGCTTCTTTCTGTCATAACCTTTTGTATCTGTCCACTTCTGCACAATTGGTCTCGTATGCCTTTTATTTCGGTGTTAATTAATTACTATTCAGAAAAGATTAAAATCTGATTTCTAAAAAAAAAAAACCTCAATTAGACTTCAAGACAATTTCACGAATTTTTTGATAGTTCTTAGACAAATATTTTTATTCGGAACACAAACCTACCGATCAACTAAAACCTAAAAATTTTGCCTGAGACGATTTTTTTTATTAAAATTAGTAAAAAATCACCTCGCGGCCTTTTGAATTCGTTCACATTGCAGTTCTAAGCCAGATAACTTCTTCTTCCTCTCTTTGCTCTTCTAAAAAGTGTTGACATTCAAAAGTCACAGATCGTAAAGAGCAAAATCCCTGCAGAGACACTTTTACTTACTTTACCTCAGCACAGCTATTTATTTTCAAGTCAAAATCATTAAATGAAATAATCGCTAATTCAAACAATAAATCAGTGATATTTTGTTGGATTGAGTGCGTAATGACAATGAGTTCAGCTGTTCAAAGTTCAATCAAATTTCAAAATACACTAAATTCAACAGTAGAAACAGGTTGTCATGAAGATTTTCGATTTAACTTATCTTTGATTAACTTATATTCTTCTTTCTAATCTACATATTCCATCACGCTTTTGTTTCTGTTCAATTTTTTTATAGTCAAATTTGCTGCAGTCTCTATATTAAACATGATTAAACAATTGAATATAAAACCCTTTAATTGGATTTTAAATTGGGAAGATTGCATCTTCCATTAGCGGATGTTGCTCTTTAATGTGTTAAATATTTGAATTGTCGTGTTAAATATTTGAAAATAAAGCCGAGAAGCTAGAAGTATTGATAGTTACCTTAATGAATGGATATTCATAAGGGAAGAAATAGCTCTTTTTCGAATTTTGTATTCTCTAGCATTGAAGAGCATGTGGTAGCGAGAATTGAATCATAAATCTTTCTCTGCTAATGAATCATTTGTACAGCAGCTGATTAACAACAAATAGTTGAAAACACAAAAGCGAAACCTCCCAGTGGTACTTTTATTCTTGCTTCATTCCTCCTTTAACTACTTATTCAATTTTTTACATGAATTCAGAACAGAGTTCCCGTCTGGAGCAACGAGTGAAGCAATAATCATATATTTAACTCTGAGAGGTCGGAAAAAAAACATGCTTGCGACATCCGTAAAACCGAGACAAGCCGGAAATATTGATGGTTACCTTAATGAATGGATATATTCATTAGGGAAGAAACAAGCGGAAAATAACCATGAAGATAAATAGAAGATTTAGTGTATAGAAAATTTTCGAATGACTTTTTTCTCTCACAAAATATGAAAAGCTCAATCGAAGATAAGCGAGATAAGCCAGGCGTGAGAGATTTTAAACTTTTGTTTTTATTTCTGTGATTATAAGCGGAAACAAAAATTGAGACCTTCAATGGAAAATGTTGAAAAAGAGCAAGGACAATTTATTATGTTATCCAACTTCCTCATAAAATTTCTTGTGACGAGAATAGAAAAAATAAAAAAATGTGAAACATAAGTTGGAAAATGTCGTCAAAAAAAGGAAAAAAACAAAAAGCATGTTCGACCTGTTTTGTTCGAATTGCTTGTGCTCCCAGCATTGCAGATCACAGTGTCGAATATCGTGTTAGCATGTCAGCCGAAACTTATCGAAAGCAAGCCGAACAAAAGGGCACTTCCAATCAATCAGATGGCCAAACAATAAGCACAACAAATTGTTTTGAGCTAAAAAATATAACTGAGAAATTTGCTTTCTTTCTTTTCGCCTTTGTCAGATTTCTACGAATACAAATTAAAGTTATGTGACACATTTTTTTTTTAACTTACTGAAAAGTTAATTGCTTTAGAATGTATTAATTTTCATTTAAGGTTTCCTCACTACTGCTGTTATGATATAACAATCGAAATCCACTAGCACTGTTAACGTTGTGGAGATAAAGTTCACAGTTCTAGTTTTAAAACTAAACAAATAATTGGACTTTGGAGATATTAAATAAACTGTACTACTTGCTGTACTATCACAAACGAATATGAAATGATTGACCAATCATTCAATTGTTGGAAACATAATAAATGATTGTATCGGCAGAAACAAAAACAAATAAATAAATAAATGTCGAATCTGCAGTTCTGGTCACTTATTCTAATGGAAATTATAAATTGAAAAGGAAAAAAAAATAATGGTGATCTATAATGTTGTAATAAACAGATGTTGAAATGCAACACCAATAACTTTCACTGATAGTCGCTTGAATTGATTAAGATGGAGAGAAAGACAAGAACGTAATTCGCGAGTTACAGGGGAAAGGAGAGAGAGGAGAAGAAGAAGAAAGGGAGAAAAAAGAGCAGAGCAAAAAGGAAGAATTGAACTTATGTTAACTGACTCTCTTTGATTTTGCATTTTGTAGAGTGACAAATGTTTCAGAACACATAATTAATTAAAGAATGTTGAGGGTAGATGTAGGCATTTCATTATCTGATGCTGACATATTCCTATATAATTAAATACGAAGAAGAAAGATGAATGAATGACCACAAAGTTAGGTCTGACAAAGATTATTTTTGAATCTTAAATTTTGCAGAACTTCGCATGCTCCATTCCTGCTTCCTATAAATATATTTCTATTTCCCCACCCTTTGAAAACTTCCATCCCGAATGCACTAAATCCCTAGGCTTCAATTCTTTGAAAGCTTTCTGATTAACGTGAATGATTAACCAGCAAAGCTACTTCAAATAAGACCAATAAATTGCAGTTGCAGAGACACATATTTAATTTAAAATCACAGATTTCAAGTTCGAATTTACCATCGAAATATCCAAAAATGTCACTTGCCTAAGATTATCTGTTAGAAAGTTCTTATTTCATGAAAATGATATTAACATTAATAACATCAAGCAATTTCAACTCCAAAAAATTGGTTTAACTAGCTAAATTTACGGAAAATAATCTTCTCAATCTCGCGTTTATCACTTCAAGTTCAGAAGACACTTATCACTGACTGAAATTCTAAAGCAAATTGAAAAAAAAAAAGAAAAAAAAAGCTTTGTAACATAATATTGTAGGAAAAAAAGAACTAACATATGAAAAAATAATCTCTTTTCAAATATTGCATTATGCAACTATCTATATTATGGATTACTATTGTCTGGCTCAGTGATTTGAAAAAAATATTTATTGTGCACGATATTTTTCAAAAGGATTTATGAAAATGAAGAATGACTGGTCTATGTTTTCTTGAATGTGAAGTGTTCCGGAAGTAAGCAAGATTTTAGTTTACATCACTGAAGCTTAGATGAAACCAGCATCTTTATCTCAATTTGTTACTGATTCCAAATCAAAAATACACTTCATAAAAAATACACAAAAAAGTACTATTAACTTTGTACGTTTTCACAAATTGATCTCATCCAATCCTACAGAAAAATCTGATTGCTTGCAAAGCCTCACCTATTTATATTAGAATATTATTTTAAATTTGTTACGTCATACTTTTTGTGGACTATAATTGGAATGTTTATAATACAATATTGGAATTTATATCGAAATTTCTCTAAAATATCCGTTATATCCTAAAATCCTTCTTAAGTCAACCATTTACTGCATATCTTCATTTAAAATTACACAACATATCTGAAATACTATCGTATGGAGTGAAAAAAAATTCGAAATGAAAATCCAAATTAATTTGAGTTTAAAACGAACTAGGAACAAACAGATGCTAAAACACTTGTCAAAAATTGTGCTCTGAATAGCTAGATAACAGGCAGTGCTGAAATGTATGTGAAGTAGAACAATCATGATGGATCGGCAGGATCTCAGCATTGTTTGATCATCACTGTCGTCATGTCACATGGAACCAATGGAATCACCGATTGCTTTTCACAGTATGGTCTCCTTTTAGTCTTTAGTTAACAAATTTTCCGGACTGAAATGATTAAATAATACAACAAAAGCGATAGTAGTATGAGTGACTCTCTTACAGTAACGATGAATAAATAACTGCTTGAAATTAATATTATTATATGGAAGGCTAAAAGGTGTAAAGCATGAAAAAGAGATGAAGTTGAATGAAGTCCAGACCACTATCTCAAATCATGACCCACTTGATTTAATTTTGTGACAAACACTACGCTAATTGTGCTCTGATACTAAGAAATGATTGATATTAGTATTCCATTTCAACCTACCGCTACTTTTATAAGTATATATTTGTTTATTTATTTAGTTATATGTTATTTACTTGTTTATTTATTCATTTACTACTTATTTATGAGGAAAGAAGAAAATGAAAGCATAAAAATTTATGTTAAGTGTGTTAATATCATTATTTCGGTTCCTAATCCAGGGAACCTGCAGATCCTAAAAATGTGTAACAAAAATAAATTTTGATTGATTCATTTCATGAAGTTGGTTTTCTTTCTTCCTCTCTCTCCTCATCTTTCTTTTATGCTTTTTACGAGAAAATTATTGAATGCAGAATGCATATGAGCAAATAAAAGAACAATTAGTTCATCAAATACTAAAATTAAACTGCTTTTTCTTTTTTCTGCAAAGTTATTTTGATGGAAATAATAAAGATAGTTGGTAGAAAAAAGTTAAAAATTGATTTCTTTAAATTATCTCAAGCAGTTACTTTTTTCTATACTTTTAATCATATAAGTAATCTTTCTCATTGCAATTTTAGAAGAAATTTAATATTGTCATACATTTGAATATGAGCATTGTCTTGTGACTTGCTGGAAAATATAAGATTGATGACTACTGACAATGAATTAAATTTCGTGATTTGTTATTGTTTCTTTCAATTCTAAAAAAATTTGAAATGAGATATGAGATCCATCAATAAAGCATTTTCAAAAAGATTACATTTTAAACTTCATATTCTCTAAACAGGAAAGTTAGAATAATTTGCATACATAATTAATATAAGTCGGGTAGTATTTAGGTTTTGAACTATTCCTCTTCTATTATTGTCTTGTTATATAAGAACTAAAACAGTTAGATATTAACTATATTTGCAATTTGTTATGTCCAATTCGGAAGCACAAAATCTCCCCATTGAACACCTAGTCATTCTATGTCAGGCTGATTTGATAATTTTTGTTTCAACTTTCTTCTCATTTTCTGAAAATTAAACAGAAAGAAATGGAGATATATCAGACCTAGATAATCGTGACATCATTGTTCGCTAGCAATATTCAAAAGGAGTAATATTGTTGGACGAAATTTTGGGGTTTAATTAGGATTAAGACAGAAAATACCATGCGTTAATTATATAACAGATAAAACATTCCTAAAAATTAATCAGTATTGAAGTGACAATATCGAATGCTGCAAACATGTTCTAAACTTTTTATTCATTTAGTCAGTTCTAAAGTGAACGAAAATGACAGAGAGGAGTTACAGCGCTGTGAAGATTTAATCATAGAGATGGCTGAGAAAATGTCCAAAGATAACGATATCGAAGGCATTTGCATTCAATTAAGCTAAAGAATAACTTAAGTTGCAAAAGATGAAAGAAGTAGATTTTGGAAATTTTCAGAAATGCGATTTGGATTTAGCAATCTCAAATTGGAATAAATCAAAGTTTAATTAAATCTGTTAAATTCAATTAATAGTCCCGATGGATCATTTAGGAAAGAATTATTTTCCTTAAAATATTTTTGCAAATTTTCTATGCAAATTGAAGGTTTAAAGAAATTATTAACCATGTTGAAACCACATTTGCTTTCCTGTGGAATGGCAAAAGCAGTAAAACTCATTCGTAATTTGATCGATTGTTGCCTGAAAATTGACAATGATTCCGAATTCAAAGTAATTAATTATTCTTGAAATTTTTGTGTGAATAATCAACGGACATAAGTTAACCTCAACATATTAGTAATACTTAAAGTGCCATCTACAATTACTATAGCCAGTGTTATCAAAAGTATCATAACATTTCCTTCCCAACACAGCTTGCATTATGTGTGGAATATGTTCAATGGGCCAAGCAACAAAATCGAATATTTTTGCGGCATACGCTTGAAGTACGCTTAATTCGTCTGTTGAATGAAATAGGACGACACACAGACGTTTTGACCATGGGTGAGTTCAATTCATATAAAGCGCACCCGGAATAGCTCGCCACTCTTAAGACGTTTATTTTTTGTTATAAGAAGTTTGCCAGAGAAAATTTTCTTTTTCTCTAACTTTTTCCATTTCTTTGGATTTCATTTTTTCATTTTAATATACGATGGAAAGTAATTGTTTTTAATGAGGCGAATTAAAAAAATTTTTTTTTTCAATTTGCTCATGAATGCATATGCAGGTGCAAAATTAAGAAATGAACTGAAGAAAGTTGAAAGTAAGGATATCCAGTTAGAAGTGCATCTGGAAGAAAGTAAAGCCGCTTTCGCGCTTAACAATTTGAATCGTTCTCGCATTGCGCTCATAGCTGCACGAGCTATAGCCAACTCTTCATGCATTGATAATAAATTACAGGTTTGATCTTCTATGATTCCACAGTACATCTACATTGCTAGGTTTTAGAGAGATATAGACTGAGTGACTTCAACACTCAATGCATTAATTTCACCCTAACTTATTCAGGCCCAACTTGATATGGAGTCGGGAATACTGAACATGGAGGAGGATCACGACTTCAGAACGGCTTTTTCATATTTTTATGAAGCATTTGAAAATTTTGATATTAATGGGGAAAAAGTCAGTGCTCGAAAAGCTCTTAAATATATGTGTCTTGCAAAAGTATGCTTCCCACTTTCAAATTCTAGAATGTTCTCCTCTTAAAGTTCTTATAATTAACCGTTTAAAGACGAAAAGTCGAGTTCCGCTTCCGCTTTCGTTTCCATTTAAGAATCTTTTCTTTCCTCATTTTCAGATTATGTTAAACGAAGAAAGGGAAATAGGTTTACTGCTGTCCAGCAAACTAGCAGCCAAATATTCGGGTCGCGATCTCGATGCGATGAAAGATATAGCATCAGCATTTGAGAATCGATGCTTACAAAGTTACTGCAAGGTTTATATTTGCTATTTGCTTATTATTCACATGCTTTAAAAAAAAAAAACGTATTTTTAATAGAAACAATACATTTATAAGTAAAGAATAAGTATCTTATCTGTTAATTCTTTAATAAGAGAAAGAGCAAGAATTCAAGCCTATTGAAAACTTTGAGCAAATGATTAGAAAAGACTGCTTTTCAAAATGTATAAAAGCTCTATAGGCAATTGAAGAATATCATATGGAGCTTCAGTCCGATTTAATAATCCGTAGATATGTTGATTCGCTTGCTGACACAGTGCTTGAAAAGGATATCAGTCAACTCATTGAGTCCTACTCTCTCATTGAAGTGTTATCATTTTTTCTATAATTCTTGAAATCTTTGAAATGCTACTAATTCAAATCAAAATCGTATAGTAACAAATTGCAGTTAATGTCATTTTTATTCATCCAGGCTTAATTTTAAAAATTAAAGTTGTGATATTCTAAAGTAAGAAATTTATTTTCAGATGGCCACACTAGCAAAAAACATAGGTATTCCAGTTCAGCAAATTGAGAGGAAACTGGCGCAAATGATTCTTGACAAAAAATTTCAAGGTCAAATTATAGACATTTCGCGCATATTAGGTGTAAAGATAATACCAAAGTAGAAGCATCTTAGTTTACAGAAATTCCTATTTCGTTATCTAAGACCTGAATTCCTGACAAGTATAAAAAAGATTCTGAATGAGTTTTCATTAATAATTCTTTATTACTCATAGGCTGATTCTACCAATAATAATTACTGCTAACAGTTGTGATAAACAACCACATGCCAACATTAATTCTTCAATCTTTTTACAACTACTAATTTCACAATTACAAAAGTTCTAGTATTAACTTGCTGATGTATCTAGGTATGATCGATCAACAGGACGGTACACTGACAGTGTATAATTTCCCACACGATGTAATAACGAAAACATTCCTTGCATCGGTGAAAGTCATAAGTGCTTTATCCCAGGTTAACTTTTAAATTTAAGAGTAAGAAATGCAGGGAATTTAAATATGTTCGAGAAATTAGTATTACAGTCAGAAACTTATTACTTCACAAAATAAAGTAAGTTCTCTTGCAGACTGTTGACGAGATCTATTCCTGTGCAAATACACTCTAGTCATCACAATTATTCTTGAACTACTGCAATAGTACACTATGTGAAACAAATCACGGAGATAATAATCCGATATTGATTACCTCACATTCTTTGTACGCAAAAAATAATTTGAAATTTTTAGAACTCAAATATTCGGACAAATTGTCCATTTGAATATTAACATCAAGTGACGGCATGCTCCTGTGAAATAGACAGTAATATATTTACTATTTGCTTTATGCTTTTAGTTATTTTTCCATTTAAAACTGAGAGGAACCAAAGGCAATTATTAATTTGAGCAATCCAGTTTCTTTTGCATGGCTTTGTTTTCACAGCTGCTACTTGAGAACATCCCATTTTTGATGAGAGGATAGAAGGAAGAATTGTAAAAAACCCATCTATTATTAATGAGTTCTTTATCGAAACTCTTATAAAATGTTTCCAATTGTTCTTTTATGGTTTTTTTTTTTTTTTTTTTTAAGTACAGTTTGAGCAAATCTATTACTAAAACTTATTTACTACTAATTCAAATTTATGCTCCAAGTGTTTTGGCTTCAAACGTTTAGTCTTGGATGATAGCAAAAAATCTGGTGAACAAATGTAAGAATAGCAATGGACTGAACATTAATGTTGGCAAAATAGTACACCGATAACGAAATCAAGATAGATAGATAATGAGCAAAGGAAAATATCCAATACAAGTTAGTAAATTCAATGGTAATAGAACAATTCTTGTGCATGGAATAACATACAGAAAAAAAAACCATTCATCTAATTTAATAAATCTGCATTATATAAAAAGTGAAGTGAATCATTGTAAGATAACCTGGTTTGCAGTTCTAAGAATTCAAAAAAAAAAAAGTTTCTGGCGTAAAGGAGCGGTACAATATCGAATTATTTCTCCAAATATAAGCCGAGAAGTTGTATATTTGATGTTTCATCAAATACAGCCCATCACTCTTTCTTCTTTATCTAATGCCTAAAATAATTTAATCGCATAATAAGGGTCAATGTTTCAGCAACAGTATTCCGTAGTGTGTTCCTAAGTAACCGATGTTATATGATGCACTCAAAACACACCCTTTAATTTTAGCAAAAAAAAAAAAACCCTTCACTTGCCAAACTTCACTTGTAAATTGCCAAATTTTGTTTTTTTGAAAAGTTTTGGATGTATGAATTGACAAGGAAAAAGCTATTTAACAGACCACAGATAACACATTTAGATCCATACTCCATAAACTTCTCCATGTTGTTGACTTCAAAGATTTGAATCGCTCCCAGAGTTGACTCCTTTTTTCTTGCAAAACCAGAATTTCCTCATTGCTCAAGCGACAAAGTGGCATATCGAGCAAATATGCAAAATCTGGCGGATTGCAATTTCCATCCTATACAAATGTGACAATGTGAAGTTATAAGTGAAGCAGTAGATTTAGATTTTGAATCAAAACTTACAGTGTGCTTCATGAAGCAAGACAAATATTCCTCCACATGACATTATTCATTTTCAACAAGATAATATTCATTTTCATAAGGTAATTTTTCAAAAATACTGACATCAACCTTACCGTAGCATTTTTCGCTTTCATCGGATTCGAATCAAACCCTTTCTCAGCAAGCTGAGCTATAATTTCTGCACGGTTTTTTTTCTTAATGATTATTTCACCATTGATAATAGCATTCACAAAGCGAACCTAAACAAATCAAATTTACATTTAATCCTCTCTCTCAAAAATTTCGAAAATCTTGAAGTTAATGATGAAAATGGTTATAAGAATGCAGTTTCAAATTCTAAAAACAAATCTTATGCCATTGAAATCACATAAGTGAAAAGAAAAACTTCGTTAATACCCTCAACCTACATTAATATCTTCAGTTTCAATGCTTATCGAAAAACTTTAAAACTATTCAAGTTTACCTGATTTTCAATAAATTTAAGTTTCCCTTCCATAATTACTAATTCACATTCCCTTCTTTCTATATATTTCTGCCGACGCACCTCGAAAAATTCTTGAAATATCTCTCTCGTGGAATCATATTTTTGTAGCACGTTTTTTTCGTCAAACAAGATCTGCAATTTTCACATCACAGATGTAATATGACCAAAAATACCAATAAACAAAGCAAGTGTTAGTAGTATGAGTTAATGAAATGAAAAATACTACATAAATAATGCAATAATGAAATATTACTGTGAATGAAATCAACGACACAAATTATTGTACAATTTAGAAATCTACAAAGATTATTATAATACGGATCTAAATGATCGAATAGATTCAGTATATTAAAAATATCTAAATCAATATAGTACAATAACCAGATTACGAAGATATATAACTCATGGGAATTTTAATTTATGTGCAGAGACAAACCATCGAGTTTTCACTTGCTACTGAACGTAATTTTAAAAGTCGATTGAGTGCCTTAATTTGCTTTTTGTCGCTTAACAATGGCTTATCGATCACATGAAGAATGAAATGTACATTACTTTCAGTATGTAATTCTTCATAATTACTGCAAGTAAGATGATTTAAATCCATTTGCAACAAATAAAACTGAATATAGAAGATCATCAAGAGATAAGAATGAGTCACAAATGAAATCATTAAATTATAAATTTTTTAACCTTATTATCCCATTCTTGATAGCGGAATCGAGCACTTTCTCCTTGTATTTATTATTCCAAATTCCAGTAGGAAGCTCTGTTATTATTGCCTGAATAAAGAAAAATTCTAATTTTATGAAATGATAGTGGAATTTGTTTTCAACAAAACTACCTGGAGATTTACAAATAATGCGAAAATTACGCAAAAAAACAGCACTAATAAAATGATAATCTTCACCCTAAGACCGCTTTTCAAACGACGATAAGAAACTTTTCCCGAGATACTATATTGACGAGGTGCAGTTTCATATATCGTGCCTTGAAATTTTCGAAAATGTGGTAACTGAAATAAATTGAAACCACTCGGTAGTATTCGTGTTCCAAAAACATGAAATAAAATCCATTGGATCACGTCTAAATGGTCAGAATGTACGAGTTCTGAAGTAAACGGCTTAATTAAAAATCACACAAAACTCCGGAAAGAAAGGAAATATAAGATTTGAATAAACTTGTTTCTCTGTCCTTGTCCAAATTTGACAATACTATCTTGTCCACAGCTTTTTTATTTCAAAATTTCATTTACTCGCTCACACATCTTCCTGAGCACTTATAAATAAAAGTTAAATTACTATGCATCATTAGCTATACATTATCAATACATAGCGGTTAACATATCGCCAACTGCAAGCATATTAACTATGCAGTTGAATGATTTGATAGAGGAATGATTGAGAAGTTGATAGAATTGAGGAATAATTGATTATGAATCCATCCACATTTACATGAATTTTTAAAGATATTTTATGAGATTATCGAACAAACTACTGTATTTCAGTCCTTGCAATATTTTATATTTAACTATCCACCCTGCTTTACCCATTTCCAACTCATTTATAAAAATTTTCTTTTATGTATTGAGCAGAAGGGGAAAAGACAAGAAAGCAAGATGTTTTCTAGAAATGGACAGAAATTTTTTGAAAGCAATAATAATATATACCATGTCCTGTAGTGGTCGTCCATCAATAAGTCTCTGGGCATTACTGATGACTTGTCTGGGACAACGCGGTAATATTTTTGTGGCCCATCCTGTACCAATCCCTTCTGCACCATTTATCAAAATCATAGGAATTATGGGACAATACCTAGCAAATTTCATATATTAATATTTGTTTCAAATACATAATAGCTGAACAGTCTAAAATATAATCTTATAATATGTAAAACAAATTAGTTTCATGTCACAATCTGGTAATGAAGCCTTGCTGCAGAATTCGATCATTCCAAAATGGAATAAGAAAAAAAGCGGACATGCAACCGTTTCTTTACTTCATGCCACCTTTTCTTTTCCAAAAACGAAAGAAACTGAAAACAACTCACCATTCTGGTTCAACGAGTGCGTTTTCTTCCACTAAGTTTTTCAGAACTTTATCATCTGGATGCGGAAATATTGCTCGCGCAAGTGGGCTGAATTTTGATATATAATTAGATAACCACTAGGATTAATACAGATAAGAGTAATAAGATGAAGCACTCAATAAGATGAGAAAACACAAATATAAAAGTTAAAAAAAAAGTTGAAAACTAGGAGTAAATGTAAATACTCTAATAAATTCATATGGAATTTGATGGGCAAATGATGGAAAAGAGAGAAACTGAACACTACCTTAGAGAAGTATAAATATATCGTGCACTTGCCACATCTTCGCCACCTGATAAACGTGTACCAAACTGACCAAGAGGTAAAAGAAGATTTAAATTATTGGAACCAACAAAGTCTTGAGCTAAACGAACGATCGTATTTACCAAAGATTCCTAGAACAGAACTCAGTGAAATAAGATATAAGTGAATTGGTGGGCAAACTAGAAAGAAACAAAAGATCAAAAACAGTAAAACAAAAATACGAAGATTGCTGAGGAAACTTTAAAAAAATCGAAATTTACTTCTCCATGATGATATCCACAATACTGTGAAACAGCACCCGCTAGTTGACTTACTCGTATTTCACCACGTTCATAACGTCCAAACATTGTAAACAAAACTTTTCGCTGACTTGGTTTCAATCCATCCACAACGTTTGGTAGAGAACGCTAAAACTACGAACAGTTCCAATAAATATTAAAACAAATAGTAGGGAATGTTGCGAGAAACTCGAACAGATTTCAATGAATAATTATTCTCACAAGTTATCACATCGTGAAAACCTACAGGATGTAAGACTTAAAAGAATAATTATTTGAATTGGTGACGTATTAAAATTTTGATTTATTAGTAGTATTATATGCATTCTACACTGTAATGCATTAAAATATGAAATAAAGCTTAAGAATTCAAATTACATAGCATATGTGGCATAGAAGTTAAAAATTTTTCTAAATACCAAAAATTTACATCGAAATACAACAAACCCGCAGATCTAGTTGTGAATATTCCACTAATTCTTCGTTAACAAATTCGGAAAAAGTTTTCTGATTGCGATTTGAATCAACTGCAGTTGATAATAGCAGCTGTAATCACATATTGCATCACAGAAATAAAGTCTCCATATGCTATCTAAAAACATAATTCTATTCTTTTATTGTTCTAAGTTGTAAGATAAACTCACCTTACTGCTTTCAGCAATCCACACTTTTCGATCATCAGCTTTATTTTTGGCAAATGCAAGTTCAATACTTTCGTCTGAGATTTTACCATCGTAAATAAAATTTACTGTATGTCGTTCAATATCGTTAAAGTATTCTCGTGCTTCCTTAGCTGATGATGTCCCCAATCCTACAATGTACTGCTCATTTTAATAATATCGTAAGGCAATACAACAAGATTTCAAATTTTGGCCAACACACCTTTATAATACTTTATCGAATACTTCACTGAATCAGGATTTTCTGCTCGCCATTTTTCATAATCGGCTGTACTATAAAATGACTTTATATCGGATCCACGCTTTGCCTACAATGATATCATGCACCAAGGAATAAGAATATGTTCTTTTTTTTTCAGATTATGCGCAATGCTTTTTTTTTTCTTATTTTTGAATCACTCTAAACCGCTCCTCCATTATTTTCATTCATGTCTAAAACTTAACATAAAAGCAAAGATAATCTTTCCAAGAATTATAGCAAAATAACTAACGATACCTTCAATAATGGTGTAATGAAATAACTGACATAATTAGCTTTAAGTAACGACGGCCAATACACATGCAAAAAATTCACAATCAATCCCTTGATGTGTGATCCATCCGGATCCTATAATATTTTATCACTGCTAATATATATGGTATTTTATTAAAAAAAAAAAAAAAAAAAGCTAGACTAGTAAGGATTTGAAGGAAAACGGGTGTTTAATGCAAAATGACTATTACAGTAACAACAAAAAAAGCAAAATTTTAGCGTAAGCAGAAAATGTGATTTGCTACAGTCAAGAAGAGATTAAGCCAATTATTCTTTTGGCAGACACTTTGCAAAGATAAACTACACTCTGCAAAAGATAAATTATGAAATGACATAACAGGATTATAGTTTCGAATAATTAGTACTTTAAAAATAAAGATATGTTATTAAAAATACTACCTGATCTGTCATGATAAGCAATCGCCCGTAACGCAAAGATTTTAATTTTTCATGGCTACTATAATTTTCACCAAATTTTAACCCCAATATCCGTACAAGAGCCGAGATTTCAGCATTTTCGACAGCCTTTAAGAGCATTTTATTAATTCATAAATAAGCTGAAAATCAAGATAAGGAGACCTAATACTCAAACTTATCTCCATCGCAGTGTTAAGGACAAAACATTTGAACATAAAAGGGAATAATAAATCACATCCACGCGATATTTCTTCATATATGTACTCGCTTTCGCTCCCATCTGATTATAAAAACGAACTCAAAAAAATTTTTGAGGGTTTTCTCATTTAAAGAGAATGTAAAAATTCGGCAACATCCTACGAGATTATTACTAATACTATGACACTGATTTCTCAGAAACCGAATCAGTCAATAAATCTACATCTAGAAATATCAACCATTTTAGCATCCATCCCTCGAACATTTGTCAACTTTCCTCGAATCGGAAAAACACCATATTGTTTCCGTCCAATTACAGCGAGACCAGCAACCGCAAGTGCTTTAGCCGAATCACCTTCCGTTATGATTAATGTGCAATTGCAACCATTCTTAGTACCAGCATCAGCTGCATCTTCAAGTTTCGATAAATCCCACAAAGATCGGTTCATGGAGCGATTCAATGAAGTCTAAAATGAAAATAACGGCAACTAGTTCGTTTCTATTACAAATAGAAACCTTGTTTGCAAACCTATATGATTTCAAACATAAACAAGAAGAAAAAATGAAGATGCACCGTATGCTGTTGACTAATGTCGCAGAGCAAATGATGGATAATGTCGCTATCTTTAATGAAATTTTCGTAAAATGATTCTGGTACAATACATGTTGAACCGAAATTCTTCACTGATGTTGTAAGATATTCTTTTGATTGCGATTCGAACGCAGGATTCTCTATCAATGAATTCACAAATATGTGAAGTCGATTTTTAATCTGAAATATTTGTTGAAAATTTTTCTACCTTTAGTGCAGTTAGGTCAGCATCTTTTTCCCATCGCTTTCCTTACTACTCAATAACTTTGAGATAACTCACTTGGTGTGCACTTATGAATTTATCGCAACCGTAGCGTTGATTTATTTCGTGTTTTAATCTTGACACTATCTGGTTCACAATATAATCCACATGTCGTCCACCCTAGATTATTTATAAGATAATATATGAAAATTTTCTGCTGCCGCATGTCCGTAATACTAAACAAAAGTTTTGCATGTTTTGCTTAAGACCAGAAACAAATGTAGAGAATAAAATTACAGTGGATCAAATGCTCAAGAGGTTTTGGACTTCAATGAACCTTTCAAAAAGCTACATATACCTATACTAAAGTGAAGAATTTACTGTCTGTTACCTACTATAAATAACTACAAAAATTTTACTAAATCCATGACATTATTAAATTAGAAAAAACTAACCTTCAAAGTATTGATATTATTAACAAAACTAATGTGATTATATCCAGTATCACTTCGTGCCACAGCAATCTGCCATCGATCATTAACACTGCAATAGGACGGAACCGTGGAATTCTCAACACTTTCACCAGTATACGTTGAAAATAGTTTTACGTAGTCTTTGAATCCTGAAACCTTCAAAACGATGAGGTTATAAATCAATATAAATGTGGCCAATACACTTAAAATTCTCATTAAGCATTTCATGTGCAGAAATTCAGAAGTCTCGAAAAAAAGCATATCAATTCATGAAATGAAATGGAATAATATTAATGATGAAGAAAATATTTGCTAACTTCAATTTTAGTCCCATTTAGAAACACATTAACACCATCAAGAGTGCCGGCAATATCCACAATCCTTCTTATCATTACTTGTATCGTATCTTCATCCAGGGTTGATAACTTAAACTTGCTTAGATCCGGCTTAAATGTAACACAAGTATAGTCGGACGCATTTGTGCTAGCATCACTGATGATCGGATCATCTACGTCGTTCATATTATTCCGCCAACACTACAACAGAAAATAGTATTGGTTAACAACTGAATTCAAGAAAATTTTCAAGATAGCACAGATGAGTTTGATAAAAATGGTCATTTCACAGTAGCAAAAACATTAAAAGAAAAAGCATAAGACAATTAGAGTAGAAGAATTACAATCAGACTTCAAACACACACATAAAAATGAATGAAATTCTATACAATGTACTGCGAGTTAGAAATACTGGCAATATAACAGATAGATTTACTTGAAAAAAACGCAGTCCAGACTGTTTTGTACAAGTTTCTACTGAAAATTCCGTGCTGAATATGTTGCACAGCTTAGCGCCAAATCCATTTCTACCACCTGTATTTTGGTAAACCGATTAAAAATTTATATTTAGCGATGTTTCTTTCATAAGTTGAAAAAAAAAGGAAAACTTTTCCCAAATAGTGAAAATTGTCGCTTAAGTAGATCTACCAGCAAACATAAATAAACTTAATGCAACGATGCTGTGCTGACATATAAAGATTTCTATAGCTAGACTAAAACAGCATGAAAACTGTATTTGATAATTCACTTTTGTAGGACGTAGCAATACAAAATAAGATGAGGACAAATCATTTGAAAAACTAACCAACTATTTTCAATTCAGAATCATCATAATTAGATGAAGTGAATAGGGTGCCAAAAATCATCGTAGGAACATAGATTCCTTCTCTTGGATGAATCTCCACTGGTATTCCACGGCCATTGTTCCAAATTGATATTGTATTCCTTTCTCTTAATAAAAGTTTGGAACAAAATTAATGCTTCGCAAAACATCCTCTACAGACGAATGAACGTCGCACAAACAATGTATATGTTTTTTCAACAACTCACATATGTACTGTACTTATAATTGCTATTTGAACAAAAGTCTTTGTGTTCAAGAATGTTTCCCATACTCTTGTTTTTCCAGCCGATGCATAAATGTATATGAGTTCACAGAAATCATTATAAAAAAACTTCGAAAGAAGCCAAAAAAAATAAAAGTAAAAAAATAAAAGGAATCTGGACATCAAAGATAACACTACAGTCTTAGTTTCTAGTTCTATTCAGAATTCTTCGCAATCTTCGAAATTAAAGTTGGAATCTTCTATTACTAAACGCAGAAAAAACAATTACTGAAGAAGCTTATGGCCAACAAATACTGGAGCAATATGAATACTCAATTTATTTGTTTGAAGTGAATGTAATCGAGGAATCGAATCTGGTTTCACTGGATATTACTTGTATTGAAAGCAGAGCGGTACGACCAGCATTCGATTTTACTTATTTACAAAGCGGATTCAATTAATGAAAGAGTTTGTAATCAACAGTTACTGAAAAACAAAACCAACTTGTCAATATTAATAGCGATAGTAGTCATTTGTGGATCTCGCCTTTTGTTATCAGCTGCGTTAACCAGAATTTCATCAAAGATTTTCAACAAGCCAGGAACAATCCGTGCTTCTTTTTTTAATATTTGTTTCGTGATATCATCGTAAACATAAATCGGCTAAAGAGAATAAATAGTGCACATATTACAAAGAGAAAAATTAATCACAGGACTAAGCTGCAAAATTTTGCCTTCAAGGACTCTTTATCGATCAACCTTCATAAAATTATCTGTAATAATTGCAAAATGAAAAACAAACTTGTTCGTCAGATAAGAAAGTGGGACCAATATAACTATCTGGTCGATAAAGTATATGTTTTAGGGGAGTTAGTCTCTGATACTTCTCCACTGCCAACTTCGTAGTAATAGCTTGCTGTTCATACAGGACTAAAACTGTTTGAATACCAAAGTGGTCTTAATATTTATTGCATAATCAAGATTGCCTTTTGCTACTGCTACAATTGTCTATAAAACCACAGATCACAGCAATCCGGTTTCTATCCCTTCCAAACGTCAAGTCTCTACGAAGATTAAAAAATACCCGTGCTACTACTAACAAAACGTTGGTAGCAACGAAAAAGCGATCGTTTATAGTATTCAGATGAAATTCCTCGATACAAATTTTTCTTCGAAATATCGAATGGTTGTTTGGATGTTATCCTGAATATTCTCTGAACATACTCCATTCACAGTACTTCATCTAGTGCTTACTTCGCAAACTGAAACTAAAATTCCATCACGACTCGACTAACGTAAGACCATTACTATACGGCAAAACTGATACAGTCGTCAAACTGTGAAATGAGAATGCTCTTTTACAAACCAATACTGAAGCATCCGAAATTATGGAACATTACCGCCAAAGAAGGAATCGGACGGATAGATACAGCAAAAGGATAAGGACAGCTGTTGGTGGGATTCCAAATAAGTGAGTGAGCATGAAAGATGATTTTAACTAGTAATTTTGGACTGAATTTGATGCAGTACATTTCTTGGATTTGATACGGGTCAAACTTTGGTGTAAGATTATCTAGTCTTACTTGAATATTTATTCAAACATTACTTAACAGGGATATGACGTCACAGAGCAAAAAATGAAACAGACAAAGTCATGTATTGTACAAATTAATGATGAAATGGTTATAGAATATGAATGATCGCCACTTAATTTACTTAATTTCCCATCAAAAATCAGTTGCGTTGCGATAATTTCCTTAATACGAGTAAAATATCACAACCGATACCTGTTCTAAAACTCAATCTGGAAGTCAACTCCATAAAAATATGTATGAATACTCATATAAAGAACAGCATAACATGATAGTACTGTTGAACATAGAAAACATAAATTAAGAAACGCAATTTGGCAGAGACATATCACAACATGGACTAAACTCTACATATCACAATTTAAATGCAATATACAAACAAAGAAATAGTAAGGGAGTTAGTGGTATATTGTAGTTCTCAGCTGATATACAATTGAAGTTGCCTACTTGCAACTCGCCTGTTTTCGGATTAACCTTTTGGATTTTCAACAAAATGGTTATGTCTATACTAATTCCTGATACAGTTTCCACATCAAATAGACTGACTATCTTTGCTATAATTTCTTATTCCTTTTTCTCATTCCATCACAAAGAATTTATTTTTACCAATTCTGTTACATAACAAATTGGTTCAGTGAACAGTAAGAGTTCTTTGAAGAGTTCTTTGAATATCTCTCTCAGCTTAGTAGTTATTAATAAAGTACGCAACATTTCAATTAGTTATAAAAAGGTAAACAAAAAATAAAATAATGTTTGACATTTCCAGATTCGTTTTCCATTAACCATATTTCACTTCTCAAAACATTTTGTGCTCAATTTTAATGTGAGTTCCCTCCGAATGGTAACGAGGATAATTTCAGAAATCCAAATCTTAAGGTCATGAGCATATTAGTTCTCGGAACTTTTCGAAAACTAACCATAAAATGTGCGGAAACTTTACTCAGAGCAAATAATTTCTTTAGGTAAAAAGAGATACAATACAATTCATCCCGGGTGACCGTATATAAAGTTAGATAAAGGAAGTGAGGGTCAACTATTTGTCCAGAAAGACTTCGCTGACATCAAGATTGAATTTGAAAATTTATAAGCGACTTTAAAGTTCAGCAGTAATTTGCACTTATCTATATCTTCTTCCGAAGTGAACTGAATTAAACACATCAACATCAAGAAAAAAAAAAAAGAAAAAAAAAAAAAAACCCGTAGAGAACTTCACATCGCTCTTCATTCATTCAATAATATACACGATAGCTATTTGGAGGAAGATTTACATCTATCACGAGCGGTTGATACTGTTTGTTGCGCTGCTTTTCAGAGGCGGTCGAGGTGACTGAAAGTAACAATAATTTCTTACTTCTTACAAGATACACATGAGTACAAAGTTCTGAAAAATGGGCTACACCTGATGTACTTTTCATATATCTAATATTAATGAAAATCGCAAGGATACAGTTGTAGAAAATTTTGTACATTGTTAGTAAAATAAAATCTGATGTTTACTAACTAGAGAAATGTAGAAAAAAAATTGATCCAGTGCTACACAAACTATTAAATAAGATTTATTATTAGCGCATTTATGCATACAATTGTTCGCATAATAACTTATATTCGCTATTTTGCTAAGTGCAAGCAAATTCTAGCAAAAGCATTTCACGAAAGATTACCATACAATGGTTGTTTGACATTTCGCTGTGTTGTTGCCTTGTTACCGAACATTTTTGGGTTGTTTTTGCAATTGACCATCGTGCAGATACTTTACGCTGTTGTGCTCCACTACTTGCGCTTGATGTCACCGATGTCTGAAATAAGCTTATAATTATAATATCATAATTATAAATAACTCTTTCAAGAAGGAATACTATTCAACAAATCCAAATTCTAATAATGAAAATAGTCTTATCGGTGAATCAACCAATCAGCATAAAAACTACGCTATAATACTGCAGCACCTCATTGATGCCATCTTATTATTAACTAGACTGTCAAAGTCATATCTAAAAACTTTGCATATTTTCAGTGAATCAATTAACATTCTCAGCTTACGTGCTTCATCATACAAACGACCAGAAATTTTGTTAATAAACATAGCATACCTGCTGTTGACCAATACTCGGTGTTCGATTCAATTCGCCTTTGATAAAACGTTCCACTTTATCCATACAAGCTTCCTGATAATCATGTACCCATCGTACACCATTGTAACGAGTTATATGCCGTATATCAGCTGGCAAATCAGTATCAGCAGGGAAATCGAAATGCTGATCAAAAATCGGTATCACATTTTTGTGATAGTCAAACGCACATCGTAGCTGGAAAAAAAAAATCATTAGCTAAGATTAAGTTTCCAAATCTCAACCAAGAAGTTCCACTTTCGCAATCATCACAGTCCTGGGTCCTTGGTCACTTCAAAATTACGTTCAAAATTACTACATAAAGTTTAAAATTGAGGTGTAGAGAAGTTTAAAAAAAGTTTGAAACATTCCATTGGAAAGATAAGATCAAATTATGATAGGGGCAAAACTATATGAATGCTCTTGCATTAATTCACAATTGTTCCCATCCTCAGTTACTATATGAAACCTCTTACAAACCTCTTTATGTATCCAGTCTTCGCAATTGTGATCATTGAATAACCTATCCAAAGAATTTGGTGTTAACACAAGAATGAAGTGTTTTGCTGCCTGAATATTTTTCAGCAATGATGAATCGAATTTACCGGCATACAATTTATCAACATCAATAAATACCTGCAACCGTAAGTACATCACAGCTACAATATCGCAATGGAAATATTTAAAGAAGTGAAAAATCTAATTCAAAATTTTAAGAGGAAAATTACCACGCTGATAAGAATCAAAACAATAGTAAACAGCAATAAATAATTTATTGTGTGAAAAGTTATTAGTAGTTAAGAATTATTAGTATAAACTGCATATTAAGAAAAAGATTGCGGCCCAAGATGCTAGGCTTATTTTATATTTTCGGCAAGTTGTGATATTTTTCAACAACGTAGGAAAAACACTTAATAAAGAGCTCAGTTAAGAAAATTCCCTAAGTCGCAGCAAAATAAAAACAAATGTTAACCTTATATCCTCTAAGCTGAAGTAAAACTTTGATAAGACTGGCCAGTTGATTACCCGTACTGCGCCGATAACTTATGAATACATCAATTTGCTTACTCAGTATCGCAACTTCAATGTCATCGATATGCTTGCTGTCTACAATTTTCACAATTCTACAAGGTTATAAACTTTTATATGATTTCATTTAAAAGAATTTATATTAAAATCTAGATCTGGCTTAATCGTCTTACCTTGCAATGCTTGCCTCAATTTGAGCCTATGGATAGGATTATGCATGCCACACACAGTTTTCATCATTTCATCAGTTAAGGACGGTAACAAACTACGATTCAGACCCATACCAAGCATTTGATATGTATAAACTGATAATTCGGGACTTAACGACATCAGGAACTGATCTAACTGACTTTCGTCCACACTTCCGTAGTCGGCTGCGATCTGGAAGTATCATGGATTTACAAATATCGATTGGTGGTCAAGTATTCATTTAATCATTTAAATTATAGTCAATAAAATCGTTATATATATAAAAAAAAATACATATATATATATATATTTTTTTGTATTGTTAGCTATATTCCATATAGCTAACAATGTTTTAAGCAAAATCACTCACTCAATAGATGGATTAATTTCTATGAAATAAAACTGTATTTCCGAAAGAGGAGAAACTCGCTTTAAGGCTTTCCAGTTCGCGGATGAAGCGTTTTCTAAGAAGGGCAGAAGACATCTGAAGATCTTGCTCAAGCTCTTTTTCAGTTAGCAGTAACAGTAAATCACCATCAACCATATGTTTTGCAAACGCATCTGCATAGGATTCAAAGCCAATCTGAATAAATATAAGATAATAAGGGAGGATTTTTGGTTGGTGAGAATAAGTCCACAGAGTTCTAATATTTGATTAAGATACATGAACAAAGGCATCACTTTTTATAAGCAAATAACTACAAGATTTACATTTCACATTCGGACCTTAAAATTTTCTTTTCCAATGTTTAATTCAAATACTTTACTTATCTACCTTTTTTTAAGATGAAAAATGAAAATAATAAAGATTTCTTAGAAATATAATAAAGGCTTTGTTAGAGTTGAAAAACACTGCGCTATTTATTCGGATGAGTATCCTAGCAAGTTGAAGCTACTTTAAATGAATATTTCTTTTAGAATTTTATTCGTATAGAATTTTATTCCGTTCTCATAATTTTCTCACCTAAAAAAATTAAATTGAGTGCGAAAAAATGTATAGCACTTTTAAGAAGAAAATACTTTAACAAGAAATAGAAACAACAGAAAAATAAAAAAAATAAGGGAAAATAGTATGACGTGAATCAACCGAACATCGGAAGTCTACGATTATCAAACTAACCTTCTTCACCCAATATTGCACATCGGCAATTGTCCAGCATGGTACTTGTTGAGTAAGCTTGTAGGGTACTTCTTCACCTATCACAGTTAATGCTTCACTTGCGAATTTCGCGGCCACTTCATCTGGACTTGATGCAATTTCTTTCAATGCTGCTATTGCTCCTATTTCCTTCAATAAATTGAATTATAAGT